AGCAGGAGAGGACTCTTTAAAGTAGAGACACTACATATTGATATACACCTGAACATCAGCAGGAGAGGACTCTTTAAAGTAGAGACACTACATACTGATATACACCTGAACATCAGCAGGAGAGGACTCTTTAAAGTAGAGACACTACATACTGATATACACCTGAACATCAGCAGGAGAGGACTCTTTAAAGTAGAGACACTACATACTGATATACACCTGAACATCAGCAGGAGAGGACTCTTTAAAGTAGAGACACTACATACTGATATACACCTGAACATCAGCAGGAGAGGACTCTTTAAAGTAGAGACACTACATACTGATATACACCTGGACATCAGCAGGAGAGGACTCTTTAAAGTAGAGACACTACTTACTGATATACACCTGAACATCAGCAGGAGAGGACTCTTTAAAGTAGAGACACTACATACTGATATACACCTGAACATCAGGAGGAGAGGACTCTTTAAAGTAGAGACACTACATACTGATATACACCTGAACATCAGCAGGAGAGGACTCTTTAAAGTAGAGACACTACATACTGATATACACCTGAACATCAGCAGGAGAGGACTCTTTAAAGTAGAGACACTACATACTGATATACACCTGAACATCAGCAGGAGAGGACTCTTTAAAGTAGAGACACTACATACTGATATACACCTGAACATCAGCAGGAGAGGACTCTTTAAAGTAGAGACACTACATACTGATATACACCTGAACATCAGCAGGAGAGGACTCTTTAAAGTAGAGACACTACATACTGATATACACCTGAACATCAGGAGGAGAGGACTCTTTAAAGTAGAGACACTACATACTGATATACACCTGAACATCAGCAGGAGAGGACTCTTTAAAGTAGAGACACTACATACTGATATACACCTGAACATCAGCAGGAGAGGACTCTTTAAAGTAGAGACACTACATACTGATATACACCTGAAGGATCATGCAATGTAAACTTCAGCAAACATCTACATTCTCATGAAAACAGTGAGCACATCTCGGTAAATCTCCTAAATGTTCAGTTCCTGCAGAAGTGAAATAACATACGAGAGGTTCAGGCTCGTTTCTTCACGCCCTGCTGATCGCTGCCTCGGCTGAAATGTTAGAAACTGAAACACTGATGTTGCTTCTGAGGATGCGAGCGCTGACATTTCCATGATTTTATGGATGAATAAACACAACCTTGAACTCATAAGTAATGAGAGTGGGGGCTGAAGGGTGACCAGCTCTGTTTCCTCAGAGAGAGAAACAGAGAGCATTTTAAGGTACATGTCCATCTCCAGCAAAGTCAATGTAATGCAATGCATGCTGGGAATGGACTTTAAGATGATTCTTATTATATTTACTGAGATATTTAACAGTGGAAAGGTTTCTTACAGTGTCTTAGATATTAAAAGTCACAATAAAGAACCAATACCAGCTGCTGTCTCTCTAAATATTTAAAAAAAATAACATAAGAAGACCAAAAACAGAATAACTCAAAAAGGACCAAAGACCCCCATTTTATTACTTATATTAAGACAAGTATTTTTGCATTACACATTTTTTCAAAGTTGGAGACGCTTTCAATTAACATCTGCTGCAAACACACACACACACACACACACACACACACACACACACACACACACACACACACACACACACACACATACACACACACACACACACACACACACACACACACACACACACACACACACACACACACACACACACACACACACACACACACACACACACACACACACACACACACACACACACACACACACACAGTCAAAGTCACACGTGCAACAAACACACAGCCTCACTTTTCCACACATAATATTAACTGTCACTTTGCACCATCAACATCTTCAGGTGTGTGTGTGTGTGTGTGTGTGTGTGTGTGTGTGTGTGTGTGTGTGTGTGTGTGTGTGTGTGTGTGTGTGTGTGTGGTACTCACGGCTGTCTCTGTGGCAGTCGCTCCTGATGAAATGGGTCATGACAAGAAGAGGAAGAGGAAGAGGAAGAGGAAGAAGAGGATAAAACCTGACGACTGATGCTCCTCACTGAGAGAGAGAGAGAGAGAGAGAGAGAGAGAGAGAGAGAGAGAGAGGGGGGTGAGTATAGCAGTGGGTCGTACCATCTACCCTCCGCTGAGAGGGGTGCAGGTGGAGGAGGGATCACCATGTATTCATGAGATAGAGGAGAGGGGGAGTGAAGCAGGTAAAAGGGATGTCAATCAATTATAAATAACAGTCCCATAGTACGGAGGATAACAATGACAGCATAAATACATCTAAGTAATCCTGTGATGGAAAAATGAGCTGAAAACAGGTCCTGTAAAGTGTTATAATAATGACTTAGTTCCTCAAAAGAATGACCTGTCTCATAATGACTTCATAGGAAGATGTCTTTCCACATGAGTAGTGACGCAAGAAAACATTCACAGGGGCACACTTTTCTGGATTTAATTATTATACTTTTCTTACTTTGAGAACATTAACTTGCAAACGTTTACTTAAAGTGGACCTATCATGCTATATTTGAATAATATAGTGTAGGACCATACCTATATAAGGCATATTTATACTTTTTTCTTTTCAAAATACCAAACAGATCATGCATTTTAGCCATGCCTCATTTCGCTCAATTTGACATTTGTAGCTCTGTTTTAGCAAGGGCAGATTCAGTGAGAACAGCACCACCTACAGGCCTGGCATATGTACTACAGCGTCTCCAGCGCTTTCGAACGGCAATGGCCGTGGCTGTCTCCTCCTGATTGGTGGAGTTGGCCCAATAGCCGTAGCGCCACTGTCCTGACGTCAGGACAGTGTTCAAATCTGGATCAGTTTTTATCAGATCCGTTGCAGCCCCTTTTTTAGAGATTTGGGTATGGAGGAAAATAGAGAGGGTTGTGTTTTCTGACACTTGGTGAGTTCCCTGGAACACCGGGGACACATATTCATGTAGAAAAGACGTACAAAAGTGCATTTTGCATGATAGGTCCCCTTTAACTATTATTAATGCAGTCTTAGTACATGATGGCACTCTTATTCTACTACTGTTTATATAAGAAGGATACAGGAACGTCTCCATGAAAGCTTTCTGTTTCAGTACGAGTTTTTACAACCTTTTACAACCTACAGTAAGAAGAAACAAACAAACCATAAAGTGAGAAAAAAAGAGAAACCGTCTGAAAGGACGTTGCTGTGGTTTTCCAAGGATCAACGCTTCCTGTTGTAACGAGAGGCTTCACCAACATGGGTTATCATTTCCACAAAACACATGTTAAGAAATACTCTGAAGGCATTTACATTTTTATTTATTTTTATTTCCTGCAACACAAAGGTGGAAATGAAAGCTTGCAGCGCCCTCCAGTGGACGTCAGGCGTGCTGCATCAAAACATCACTCAACCAAACTAATGCTTTAACTAGAAGCCTCTCAGTTTCTTTAACGTGATAATAATATGTTTGCTTTATTCCTTTACTCAGCTATATTGTTTATTACATATCTTCCCTTTAAATACATTTCTGAATCATAGTACACCTTGAATACACGTGCTTAGTAGATTTAATGAGGCCATATATCCCTTTCAGGAGTTATCCCTCTCCTATAGTGTGTTCTATAGGTTTTAGTGCATGTCAATGGTCTGCAAAGGATAACATCCCTGTGTTCCCTCCAGAGGAAGATCAGCAGGAGAGGACTCTTTAAAGTAGAGACACTACATACTGATATACACCTGAACATCAGCAGGAGAGGACTCTTTAAAGTAGAGACACTACATACTGATATACACCTGAACATGAGCAGGAGAGGACTCTTTAAAGTAGAGACACTACATACTGATATACACCTGAACATCAGCAGGAGAGGACTCTTTAAAGTAGAGACACTACATACTGATATACACCTGGACATCAGCAGGAGAGGACTCTTTAAAGTAGAGACACTACATACTGATATACACCTGAACATCAGCAGGAGAGGACTCTTTAAAGTAGAGACACTACATACTGATATACACCTGAACATCAGCAGGAGAGGACTCTTTAAAGTAGAGACACTACATTACTGATATACACCTGAACATCAGCAGGAGAGGACTCTTTAAAGTAGAGACACTACATACTGATATACACCTGAACATCAGCAGGAGAGGACTCTTTAAAGTAGAGACACTACATACTGATATACACCTGAACATCAGCAGGAGAGGACTCTTTAAAGTAGAGACACTACATACTGATATACACCTGAACATCAGCAGGAGAGGACTCTTTAAAGTAGAGACACTACATACTGATATACACCTGAACATCAGCAGGAGAGGACTCTTTAAAGTAGAGACACTACATACTGATATACACCTGAACATCAGCAGGAGAGGACTCTTTAAAGTAGAGACACTACATACTGATATACACCTGAACATCAGCAGGAGAGGACTCTTTAAAGTAGAGGACTCTTTAAAGTAGAGACACTACATACTATATACACCTGAACATCAGCAGGAGAGGACTCTTTAAAGTAGAGACACTACATACTGATATACACCTGAACATCAGCAGGAGAGGACTCTTTAAAGTAGAGACACTACATACTGATATACACCTGAACATCAGCAGGAGAGGACTCTTTAAAGTAGAGACACTACATACTGATATACACCTGAACATCAGCAGGAGAGGACTCTTTAAAGTAGAGACACTACATACTGATATACACCTGAACATGAGCATAACATGTCCTCTTTAAGTACTGAAGTCCCTTTTGCATGATCAGCACTGGAGAAACAGCAGTGAGAAAACAAGTTTTATTTTACATTTCTCAGTGGGTGTTGACAGATATTCAATATATTTAATCATGAATCCTTCAGATCTCATCTATTCTGCGCCTCCTGCTGTGATTTAAAACTCCTGCTCATAGGGGTAAAATACATATGGCACACTTAGAGGAAGGACTAACACTCAGAGAATAACAGGAAGCAGCCGAGGGAGGAGCTGACAGAAGTTAGTTTCATTTTGACACACAACAGGCTAAATCCCTCAGACGAGAAACTTTACATCAACTAAAAGGTAAATACTGATGTTGTTATAAATCTTATCAACATGTAAACTCCTCTGCAGACGGCTCTGCTTCTGTCCTCTGGTTCTTGTTCAGTCTTCTGCAGATTCAGCATGTTTACAGTCGTTTCTGTGCAGCCGTACTTATTCACTACAGACTGGTTTTTGCACGTTTGCTGAAGGGGAACTTTCCTCGCTGGGTGAACTTGTTGAAAACGGATGTAAGAGCCGCAGACTTAACACGAAGCTAAACTCCACTCAAAATGAAGAAAAAAAGTCGTTGTTGAAGTTGAGAAACTTTACTGGTAACTCCTTCACCATGACATGGAGTGAAAACTGTACAATACATATTACATGTTACTTGTTACTTGTTAGACGCTTTTATCCAAAGCGACTTACATACTCAATACTGTGGGCAATCCCCACAGGCAGGGGCGCTTTAAGGGGGTGAAAGGTTAGGGCGATTCTAAGGGCCCGTGACTGACAGGGGCCCAAACTATTTTAGAACAATAAGAAAAAAATAACCAATGTGATATCTTTTCATGGGGCCCAAAATCCCTGGCGGCGCCGCTGCCCACAGGAGCAATTTGGGGTGAAGTGTCTTGCCCAGGGACACAACGACATGCTGACTGCAGTGGGACTTGAACTTGCTACCCCCTCATTCGAAGTTCAGCACACTAACCACTGAGCCACAGCCTCCTACACAGAATGCAAAACGATTTTAATCTTGTGTTGTCTATTCAAACACCCTTAGTTGCATTGTAAATGTATACAATATAACATTACATTTTTCTTAATTTCTTAAACATATTTCCATCAAATAAGCCTTGATATAAGAACTACAACATGTTAACAATGAAATGTAATCACTTACGACATTGATTGATCAGTCTTTTCATGCAGATGCAAATGGGTCCTAAAAGTGCCTGTGACTACCCGATTTGCATCTCTGCCGATTAGCATCTCTGCCCGATTAGCATCTCTGCCCGATTAGCATCTCTGCCCGATTAGCATCTCTGCCCGATTAGCATCTCTGCCCGATTAGCATCTCTACCCGATTAGCATCTCTACCCGATTAGCATCTCTGCCCGATTGATGCCCGATTAGCATCTCTGCCCGATTAGCATCTCTGCCCGATTAGCATCTCTGCCCTATCTGCAGTGCGCATGTGCGAGATGGTCCGCCATATTGGACAACTCCGTACGGCAACCCAACTAGGACACTTGACACAGTGGCGTTTGGCAAAGCACACAAAGAAAACTCCAAAAACCGAGAGAGATGAGTTATTGTTATTACAACGTGACTTCACTATTATTTAACAACTCTTTTTATTGGGTTCTTTTATTTGGGATTTAACTTCTGTTAGACAGCTATATGCCATACATGTTTGCATACATTCACAGTAAATATTTATTCAGTATGATAGCTGTCTAACAGAAGTTAAATCCATTTCTCACTTATTCTGACAATGTACTTAACCCCAAATAAAAGAACCCAATAAAAAGAGTTGTTCGTTGTAATAACAATAACTCATCTCTCTCGGTTTTTGGAGTTTTCTTTGTGTGCTTTGCCAAAAGCCACTGTGTCAAATGTCCTAGTTGGGTTGCCGTACGGAGTTGTGCAATATGGCGGACCATCTCGCACATGCGCACTGCAGATAGGGCAGGGCGGCAGATCGGGTAGTGACAACGGCAGCCCAAATAGGACACTTGACGTTTAGAAGGCTCCCCAATTTGCATTGCGCATGCGCGAGTCATAAACGTCTCAGAGATGGGATGCCAGAAGGTGCTCAGCTATATATATATATATATGTTGTTTTACTATAAAGTAAATGTAATATTATTTAGTCTTATTATAAGTTAGTAAAAGTAGTTTTATGCTTTTATTTTGAAGGTGTATTGGGGCACCTGGTGTAATTGTATATACTGGAGACAGGTGGTGGTGGGAGCAGAGCACCAGTAATGCATCTGGTTTTGACCAGGGCACGAGGAGGCCACAGGAAAGGCACAGGGAAAGAGTGTTGAACCTCTGTTCGTTGCATATTGATATAGGAATAAACCATAAATAGAAAAGTAAAACAGAAAATGAACTTAAAAGTAAACGCCCACTGGGGTTCAATGATCAAAGTCCAGGCAAGAGTCCTTTCTGTGCAAGGGTTAGGGTTACATTACATTAAGAATTGTAATTGTATTTTAATCTAGCAGCTTGCTTTACACCTTGATAATGCAAATAGTGTGGTATCAAAAACAAAGGAACAATACAAAAAAGACATTTAAATCAAAATGAAGGGAAATGGATCTTAAAGCCAACACAGTTCATGTGTCACTCAAATGTAACTGTGAAAGTGCAATCAAATAGAGAGTATAAATGTACGTCAGGACACGTTCGAGTCTTGATTTGGATAGTGTGCCGTCGATGGGTTTCATTCCATTTCAAAGTGCTGTTTGACGCCGCTCTGCCACTCCAACATCCAATCACAGAGCTTGAGAACTACTCACGGGGTTTGTCAAACAAAGCACATGGTGTAGTCCCAAACGATAGCTGTGGATTCTGGGTAGTGTAGTGTCTTCTGCCATCCTAAACTCCGAAAAAATATTTGTTTCTCCGAATCAAAGGGGAAAAACACAAAAGCATTGCACACAATTTAAACCAATCAATGTTGTGTAATTAACAAGGATAATCTGGTGTTTTTGAGTTGATGAGTAGTGGAGATATCACTGTAAAATCAATCGACAGTAAGGGGAATACTTACTTCCGGGTGTAAAATCCTCCGTTATCCAATGGGAATGGACGCTCACATTGCCTTTAAATGCCGCCGACACAAACGAATGCCGTGCTTCCATGAGCGTCAAATCCCGCCGCAGATGGGAATACATTGCAATCAGTTGAAAGCTATTTGTGTCCGTTTATGAAGCTGAAGGAGCCTCGGAGCGTCCCAACTGGACGGGACCCTGACCAAGCGTCGCTCCTGGACGTTTAGGGAGTGAGAGTGTGTTGTGCGTACCAGTTATGTGCACCCCTGCCTATAATATATTGTTAAAATATAGTATAATAGTTGACCTTTAATCGATTTCCCCCCTCTTTCCAGCTGCTCATGGACAACATTGAACTCATCGTGTCCATCGCCTCCCAGATCTACTCCCTGATGGAGAAGGTGAAGGCCAACAAGAAGCGATGCCATCGTGTTTGCGATCGCGTCAAAGCTCTGGAGCGTCTGGTGGAGTCAATTCTCCAGCAGAGAAAGAAGGGACAAACCTCTGCAGACGTAGAACGATGCCTCGAGGAACTCTCCATCACTCTGCAATCAGCGAAGGAGGTCATGGAGAAATACTGCGGGGCATCTTTTATGATGCGAGTGCTGAAGTCCGGCAGCCACGAAGACGAGTTCAACACCTTGAACGACCTGCTCAACGACGCCTTCCAGGTCCTTTCAGGATCTCTGCAGGTGGAGCAAGGCAACGTCCTGCTGAAGGGGTTTGAACAATCCACCAGGGAGAAAGAGGACGAGCAGGACAGGAAGCAGGATGACAGAGAGCTGAAGATACGTGAGGGCAAACTGATGGTGGCTTTGTAGAGTTTCAGAACCTTGATTTGTGTTCGAACTTCCAGTTAGAGCGTAATTGCAATTACTTTGCATAGCATCATTAGCTTTATCAACTTTAGCTTGCCAAATAAACGTTTGTAAGATGTTCTAAATGTACTTTCATTAGGTAATAACACTTCTTCCAGGTAACAAACTAACCATTTAGATTACTAATAAGTGAATAGTTTATTCATATAAAACATATTTGGCAATTTAAGGCAATACTTTGAGATTTTAAAGCAGGGGTGGGGAACCTCCGGCCCCCGGGCCGTATACGGCCCGCCAGACCATTTGGTACGGCCCTCGAGGTAATTTATAAACACACGCAAAAAAGAAAAAAATTAAAGAAATCTAGACCGCAAAAAAATTAAACAAGCGAGTGCCTGTTTTCCCTGGCCAAGGTCAGGGTCCTTGAACACAACACGAGCCTAACGTGTCATCACGTGGTATATGTCTCGTCTGACAGGGTGTATGGAGCTAATTTCCTGCCATAACTCCACAAACTAAACAGGTTTTACAAAGGCCTCATGATTCACTAACAAACACAATGTGGTTTGCAAATACAAAACACCATCTACAAACTAATGCATTTAGTTTTGTAAAGAAAAAACGTATCTATCAAACAAACACATAACATTTTTCTAATAAATCATGTTTCAGAGACAAATTCAGCATAGGTTTTACAAGTACACACATTTTTTTTACAACTACAACACTTTTTTTTACAAGTACAAAACTTTTTCTTCTCACTGGCGGAATATTACTGCCAAAAGTCACGTGACTCACTCACGTGACTTTTGGCAGTAATATTCCGCCGTGGCTGGATCATACACACTCACACATGCTCACTCACACATGCTCCACGGCAGCAGGGGGCGCTACTGAGTCCATCCGGAAGGCGGGAGGTTGAGCAGAGCATGGAACAGCCCTTGCCAGCCTGATGACAGGTGTTTCTATGGAGCTATTTCAGGGTCATAAGTTTTGAAGTTTTGAATTTATTTGAAAGTTCACGTTTTTATCCTGAACTTTGAAAAATACAATGAAGTATTCAAACCAAAAATAAGTATTTGAAATCATTTTTCAGGTTGAATATTATCTTGATTCAGTTCAGCAATTCTTTTAAATAAAATATTTATTTTCATATTTCACTTTATACATATTTTGATATTTGAATCCTTATTTTTTTCAGTTGCAGATTTTACGTTTTCAGATTCAAAACAATTATTTTTTCAGTTTCAAATCTTGTTTTTTCAGGTTTCACATTGCTTTTCACCTTCAGATCGTTTTTCACTCTCAGATCTTTTTTTTTTCGCTTTCAGATCTTTTTTTTCGCTTTCAAACTTTTGGCCCTGATGTTGCTTGGGGGGGGGCGGGGCTTACCAAAGAGTAGTTTGGCATCCTGAGTGACAGGCCTCCCTCTGTCATGTTGCCTTCATGGATGTTACGTAGCGCGAGAAATATAACTCAATACTTTCTATACACAATACTCCCGTGATTGGTGGTAAACAAAACTGATACCAGCGTCAAAGTTCCGTTAAGCGAGCTGATAGATCTACGTTTTTTCTTTGCAAAACTAAATGCATTAGTTTGTAGATGGTGTTTTGTATTTGCAAACCACATTGTGTTTGTTAGTGAATCATGTGGCATTTGTAAAACCTGTTTAGTTTGTTTGTGGAGTTATGGCAGGAAATGAGCTCCATAGGGTTGCAGTTATGCGAGAGCACCAGAACGCCGCAGTTTGTGCGTGGCTCTGTCTTTAGTTGTAAGCCCAGTGGCGATCTGCTCATCTGTCATACTGATCATACAGTCAATAACTTTGTTGTTATTAGCATCTGGTTAGCTAGCTATGCTAACGAATATAAGAAGCTTTTTCTACAACCAGTGAGGTAAAGGCACATCTTTATATGATCATAAAAACACAAGAGAATAAAGTAAACAGGTATAAAATACTAAATGACAGTTAAAAAAAGTTGTTATTAATAAACAAGAATACAGCTTGAAAGGGAGTGATTTGTAAAATATCCATAAAGAAACAGAAATCTGCTTACAGTTCTGTTTCATATGGGTGTTGAGAGATGTTTCCATAGATCTCTTAATGTTGCTCTCAAAGTGCACCAGATTGATGCTTTTAACTTCAACATTTAAAAAAAAATCTTCCCGGGGGAGCATGCCCCCCGGACCCCCCTAGAGGAGGTTAGGTCCACCCCCCACTTAAAGCATGTTTACATGGATAGGAAACTAAATACATTTGCACACATCTTGTGTCCATATCTTTCTGTTTTGGTGGTCATGCCACACTGTGCATGTGCATGTGCGAGTCATGGTAAGATATCTGGATTGAGAGGTTGCTTTTTCTTTGCACAACATGAAAGAAAGGCCAAATGAATGGGCTGTGATTTTAGTATTTTTAAGCAGAGGTCAATAATTTGTACGGCCCTCTGAGGATGTTGAAAAAATGTAAATGGCCCTTGAACGGCATGAACGGTAGACACAATAGCTAACATACGATAACCTGCTTGTTAGATAGGTAGTTAATTTAAGCTAGCTTGTAAAGCACATAACTAATGTTTGCTTGCCATCTTGATAGGTATAGTTATCGTTGCTAACCAGCTTGTTAGATAGCTAACATTTGCTAGTTAGATAGAAAGCTAACATTCGCTAGCTTAATAGCCCACTTTATTTAATTTGAAGTTTAAAGGTCCCCTATTATCCTCTTTATGAACAATATATTATAGGTCTCAGATATATACAGAACCTGTCTCTGATTGGCTGAAACACCAAACAGATAATTGCAGCATCCCATAATCCCCTCTGTTTCAGCCCTGTTCCAAAAGTGCTGATTATGTGTCTGTAGCTTTAAATGCTAATGAGCTGCTGCTGGCCACGCCCCTCTGAGAGATGGTTAGTTTAAAAAAACACAATGTTGCTCTAGGAGGAGATTCAGGTGATAAGGTGGGGGGGGGGGGGGGGTTACCTTGGTTGGTTATTGGGTAATGGTTGCAAAACCCAAAAATACAGTGTGCCATCACAAAGTGACATAAAATGACATCCCTCTGTAAGATATTGTGTGAAATCAGGGCAGGAAATTGGTGCATTATTGTTGTCTGTTTTGCTTTATACGTGTTTGTTTGTTCCTCAGTTCTACTGCAGTATATGGAGGAGCAGCAGAAGCTAGCACACAAGTTGCAGGAAGACATTATTAAGGTCTTGAAAGTCTGTGAGTAGAGCATATACATACATATCATATACATAATAATCAATACGTCAGACCAGTGGCGAGCCGTGACTTTTATACCTAGGCCCTCTGACACCCCCCTTGCCTCGAAAAAAAAAAAATAGTTATTACGTCACAGCGTATAGCGGAATATCAAAACAACGGCCCGGGGTGCAAAACACATCAATGACAGCGACCCTCTACCACACAAAACAACACCATTTATATAAACACCTCTCATGACAGGGCACCCACAGCCAAGTAACAATTACAAATGAATTGCGTCTGCACGGCGGCCCACATTGAAAATGACTTAGGCCTACCTTTGATGATCAAATCACTTCAACACAAAGTCCATCCTCCGGTCCTTTTGGATGAAGCACTTGATGGCGGGTCATGCAGCTGATCCTTTGCCACTCCAATTTATCATTGTAACTCAATCTTGAAAATGACTCGGTTAATAATTTCGCAACGATGAAATCACTATCACTGACATCATGAACGAACTTATGCTAATTATACATCTATTGATCATAAATCTATCGATTAGATTTATGATTCGAAAATTATAAAAGTAGGGTAGACATGTGGATATTATCCGGCTGAACAAAACGTGCATTTATCTAACAGGTTCGTTTTCCACAGACCTTATTTGGAGCTATTTTCCAAAATCCTATGGAGAAATCCCATTGCTTTTTTATCGAGGGAACCCATGCGCAGCTTACTTCCGGGTTTTAGGACGCGTCACTGCACCACTTTATACACATGCATAAACTTCACAGCGGGCGGAACTTGTCATAAAGTCCGCGAAAATAAAGCCCACCCATTTAGAGGGAAGATATGATTGGTCAATTGTACTGTCATTTGACATTACTCTCTCATTGAGTTACTATAGCTGGCCCTCTGTGAATGTACAGAGGGACCAACAAGCTCTCCCGTCTTCACATAACTCGCAGAGACGGCATTTAACCCTTCACATTCCAACAGAAACTGAACAGGCAGATTCGAAAAATGTATTTATTTGGAAATGTTATTTTAAATACAATTTAAAAAAAGTTATTTTGTTAAAACTAAAATATAACTTTTTTATGTTTTAAAATATTATTTTTTAGAATAACTTAGGCCCTCAATTGAACTGAATTGCCTTGTTGTTGAAACCTACTATATAAATACATTTATATTGCCTTAGTAGTTGGAGGAAACCAAAACCAGAGCTAAAAGAGATAGAATAATGGACTTACATTACAAATCCTGACCCAAACTATGAACCATGTTTTCACAGTGGAGAAGCCCTACGATGAGGGCATCCAGATCATCAAACAGCAGGATCTTAAATACGAGCATGTTGACGGCCTGACCAAGAAGCCCTTCAGGACAACGCCAACCTCAGAGGTCTACAGAGGAGAGTACCGTAGTTTCCCAGTGGCCATCAAGAGATACACTGACCCTGCGACCACCAACATAAGGTCTGTGCACATTTCACGACAATACCAATTTCCTTTTTCCTAATTGCATTCATCATTTGGTTCTTTTGGTGGATTTATTCACCTTTAAGACAAGCTGGAGGAGATACAGCATGTCTGTTACCGTTCCTTTTTTTTTCTTCTTCCTCAATGCCACTGACATATAGGGAGGTGAAAAGATGTTTCGAAAAGGATGTGGAAACCATGAAAGCGTTTCAGTCGCCCAACATCCTGCGAATGTTTGGCATCTGTTTCAAGGACGAGACGGGTGAGTGGACTGTAGCATATACAATTCTGAATATAGAGTGGTGCAGCAATGAGTCCTCAAACCCGGAAATGAGTCAGCATTGTACCTTGTCTGATTTTCTTGTCTTAAAGTCAAGGTCTGTGGTTAACACAAGCTGAAGAGACTTTGGTTCTTAGACACAAAATACATCAGTAAATACCAGAGGTGGGAGTAAGTCCTACATGTGCAAGTCCACTGGAGAATGTCCTAAAACTAAAATATGACTAAATAAGAGTAATACACGTCATCCCTGTGAACATTAGCTGCCTTTAGCTTAGCAGTGGTGACGTGAAGTCATGTGACCGTGCTGTAGTTCCTTTATAGCTCAACATTAGCCTCCTTTAGCTTAGCGGTGGTGGCGTGAAGTCATGTGACCGTGCTGTAGTTCCTTTATAGCCAACATTAGCCACCTTTAGCTTAGCGGTGGTGACGTGAAGTCATGTGACCGTGCTGTAGTTCCTTTATAGCCCAACATTAGCCTCCTTTAGCTTAGCGGTGGTGACGTGAAGTCATGTGACCGTGCTGTAGTTCCTTTATAGCCCAACATTAGCCTCCTTTAGCTTAGCGGTGGTGACTGTGAAGTCATGTGACCGTGCTGTAGTTCCTTTATAGCCCAACATTAGCCACCTTTAGCTTAGCGGTGGTGACGTGAAGTCATGTGACCGTGCTGTAGTTCCTTTATAGCCTCAACATTAGCCTCCTTTAGCTTAGCAGTGGTGACTGTGAAGTCATGTGACCGTGCTGTAGTCCTTTATAGCCCAACATTAGCCACCTTTAGCTTAGCGGTGGTGACGTGAAGTCATGTGACCGTGCTGTAGTTCCTTTATAGCCTCAACATTAGCCTCCTTTAGCTTAGCAGTGGTGACTGTGAAGTCATGTGACCGTGCTGTAGTTCCTTTATAGCCCAACATTAGCCGCCTTTAGCTTAGCGGTGGTGATGTGAAGTCATGTGACCGTGCTGTAGTTCCTTTATAGCCCAACATTAGCCTCCTTTAGCTTAGCGGTGGTGACGTGAAGTCATGTGACCGTGCTGTAGTTCCTTTATAGCCCAACATTAGCCGCCTTTAGCTTAGCGGTGGTGATGTGAAGTCATGTGACCGTGCTGTAGTTCCTTTATAGCCTATCGTTAGCTTTTTTCTTCTGGCAATTGCATTTATTGGTCCAACCTACCTACAAAAATACATAATTCCTGCACCACTCCTTTAAAATGACAATAATGTGAGGTTGCCTTGTGACTTCCTGCAGGACCTAAACCTCAGTTTCTCATCATCATGGAGTACTGTGAGAAGGGAAGTCTGCGGGAGGTTCTAGACTCTGGTTGCACACTGAGCTGGAACCAGAAAGCTCGTATGTGCCGCGACGCAGCGCAGGGACTTTACCGGTTAGAATAACACAATCATTTATTTTATGCCCTGTTCATTATTGCTTGTTATGCACTGACTGCTTTTTAAATGTCATTGTACCTGTACAATGACAATAAAGGAATTCAATTCAATTCAATTTAAAAGATAAAATGTCCCTTCATGATGATAACATCTGTGTCATTTTTAGACTGCACCAGTCTGAAGATAAATCTAAAGTTCATGGATGCATCAACAGCAGCAATTTTCTGGTAGCTGACGGCTACACAGTCAAGGTACGGACACTGGTGCATGCTGGGATTGCTGACTGTCCAATGATTGGCGTTGGGGGAAACTAATAAAGTCTTGGTGTGGTTTTCAGCTGGGAGGCTTTGAGTTTTCACAAACTGAGACGTCTCTGAGAAAGCCAACGAAGGGCGGGGTGAACAGGTCCTTCACCTACTCCTCTCCTGAGTTGCTGGAACACATTAACAACTACAGCAAAGAGTGTGAGGTTTACAGGTCAGATACCGTCACTCTGGACATCAGGTTAATTCAGACATTGCATGTTTGTTTTCACTGCTGTACGATAACTTTGAAATGTTGCCCTTCAGCCTTGGAATCGTCCTCTGGGAAGTTGCAACTGGACGCAAACCTTTTGACGGTATGTATCTGCAGAACACAACAGCCAGGACTCTCCAACTCTAGATGTAATTGCAACTTCTAAAAAAAAAGGACCTCATGGTTGATCGCCGTTACAGAAAAAGATTAAATGCTGTCATATAAATCAGCGGTCCCCAACCTTTTTTTGCGCCACGGACCGGTTTCATGTAAAACCAGATTTACACGGACCGCCATTCAAAGTATAGGGGGATACAGGGCTGTAGTGCTGCCGGAGCGCACCGGAATGCCTCTTCGGCACTTTTTTACTGAGAAAATAAACAACATTTGCAGTAACCATAAGCACCGCTGTCCGGCAGACAAACACACTCAGCAGAGAGAACTATCATGAGACTGTGACGAGCGTCTTGACCGATGGTAATGTGTCAAGAGACACAGACGCACAGACGGATGTATCCGGTTATTTTTCTAAATAAAACATCTTTCAGACTGATAATCAATAAAATATTTTTGCATTCAATCTTTCTGTGCGGCCTGGTACCAAATGACCCACGGACCGGTACTGGGCCGTGGACCAGGGGTTGGGGACCACTAATCTAAATCACATACAGAAATGACTAGAAGTTAAAAACGACTTTAAATATATGAAATCAAAGCACAGCTGCACCTAACTCTTTTTGTACAATTAACTTATTTTCGAGATACATTGTTTTGGTCTGTAAATGTCAGAAAAGTTGATGAAGAACGGGGAACAGGAATGTCTGAACAGAATGGCAATCCATCCAAAGTTTCAGACTAAAATGGTGCTGCTAGGATGACTAAAACTACAATTTAGGCTTCTTCTTTTGTCCTTATTGCGTTTGCGATTGTCTTTCAGGTTTGAAGACAGCTAAAGAAGTCGAACAGAAAGTGTTCGTAGACAAATACCAGGAGCGGCTTGACGACTGTCCCAAAGAACTAGAACTTCTGATCAACGCCTGCCGGGCCTACGATCCCTTCCAGAGACCGTCTGCTGGAGGTAACTTACCGCCATCACCATGTGCACCTTTAGGTAAAACAGGTATCTGCTAGACTGTCTTACAAAGGACAGACTTTAAGGCCCTGACCCACCAAGCAGATTATCATCGATTTGCAAATTTGAGCTTCTGTTGGCCATGTTTTTTGCGGTGAGTCCCGCACTGTCAGCAAATAAACCTTAAAAAATGTATTAACTCTGATTGGCTGTTGAGCGAATCATTGCATAGTTATAATAGTGCATAGCGTGATAGTTGCAGTGGTGGAATGAGTACTGTATTTACTAAGTTTATTGTAAGTACCTCCATAACAGGGAACAGTTTGTTACCATCAATGGCTCAAATCCCCCCCCAGTCCCAGTCAATCACGGTGTCCCCCAGGGCTCTGTGCTTGGCCCCCTCCTGTTCACCATTTACATGCTCCCCCTCGGCCAGATCATCCGCCATCATGGACTCAACTTCCACTGCTATGCTGATGATACCCAAATCTATCTCAGCACTACTCCATCCTCCCAGCTCCCCCCTCAGTCCCTTGTCAACTGCCTGCACGAAATAAAAACCTGGATGTCATCAAATGTCCTCAACCTTAACAGCAAGAAAACAGAGCTCATGGTTGTGGCACCCAAGGCGCTGCTCCTGAAGTCTGCAACCTGGGTGTCATCTTTGACTCCACCCTTTCCTTCTACTCCCACATCACGTCCGTCACCAAATCTGCTTTTTTCGTTTAAAGAACATTGCCAGACTCCTGTAGCAGAAACCTTAGTCCATGCGTTTGTCACCTCCCGTTTGGACTACTGCAATGGTGTCCTGTTCGGGGTACCCAACAAAGCCCTGGACAGGCTCCAGTACGTCCAAAACTGTGCTGCTAGGGTACTCACGCATACAAGGCCGTGGCAGCACATCACTCCCGCCCTCATCCACCTCCACTGACTGCCGGTCAAGTCACGCATATCATGTAAAATCCTCCTCCTCACCTTCAGACACTGGCCTGCTCACCACTGCCTGCACCAACCTGCGACCCTTCGGGGACAGAGCCTTCAGTGTGGCAGCCCCCACCCTCTGCTCTCCCTGCGGTGATCCGCAACATCCCCACGCTTGACGCCTTTAAAAGGGCCCTCAAGTCCCATCTGTTTGCCAAGGCCTTCGGCCCCTAATTTATTTGTTGTTTTTTCTGTCTGACCGTTTGTCTTACTGTTTTTGTTTTTTGTTGAAAAATATAATAAATAATAATAATAATAATAATAATAATTATTATTATTATTATTATTAAGTACTGTTGCCTTTGCAGACCATTTACACACAAAAAGCACAGTAGGGCCCTTTAACCGTAGAATATCTCCACCAATAACAATACTAATATGGTGTCTATCTCTCTCTCCCACAGAGCTGGCGAAGAAACTGAAGAAATGGGTGACACAGTTGGAGAAGGTGTAAAGCCTTCATGCCTCTCAGTCTGCAGTACTCAGGGTTTCTGATCACGGATATCCTCAGGAGACCAAATGATATGATACACTTTGTTGAAGAAAGGAAGAAAATGGAACAATGTATTTTATTATATAAAGCTTAAATATGTTAAAAACTGTGTTAAACTCTGAATGCCATAGTCATGTATCGTATAGTTTAATGCTTTAGCAATATAAACAGGATGTATAACAGAAATCCTTACATGGGTACTTGTAAAGACCTATGTAGCAAAGTACGCACTTCCTCTTTCCAGGAGATGAACTTTTTACGCACTCCCGCTTTTAGATTGAACTTCTTACGCACTTCCCCTTTCGAGGAGATGAACATCTGTTATGTATTTCCTTGCGGGAGGTGAACATTTAACCACAGCAACAAAGAAGGACACCTCTAACGCACCAGCTTGCAGGCACAGGATGTGACAAACCACGTGTCAAATCACGTGACAGGCCGCGGGAAAGAAGATGATAAAAGGAGACTGAAGAACATTGGAAATCAGTTCCTGTTGAACTCAGCAGCTCTAGCAGAAGACGGAAGAAAGATACTAACTAGTAGTGTAACTTAGACCCCAGATATAATATATATCTGAGCAAACCTAGACGGAGCAGATATCATCTATATCTGAGCTAAACGCAGTTCATTATAGTGTGTGGTGTTATAACTTGTGAAACTTTAAATAAAACGACCTGTTCACACTTGTGAGAGGAAACTAAAGTTCATGTAGCCCTTCTGATTATTGCTGGATAAGTGACAAATGAGACGGAAATGTAACCTGTTCCCACATAGCTTGAGTCCTGAGTCCAGACTGATTCCAGCGTCCTGTCTCCTTGGCTGAGGATCGATCCCTGACGGAGTCTGCAGTCTCCCAGAGAGAACAGCGGGTAAGTCGCACCTAGGTAACTCTGTTGCTGAATTCTGGGTCATATTGGAGGTCGCCGTGATCGATTGATCTGAAATACGGCAGCAGTGCTTTACGGGTATTGAATCCCAAGGTTTCAGAGGTGTGTTCATTAAGGTCTGTGATCAAAGTCTAAAGGGAGAAACTAACAGGGGAAAGTTAAATGGTGTAAAATTGATGAATGGAGGTAGTATAGAAAGAAGGGAGTTTGTCGGTACCTCGTGGTGGTGTGTGAGGACACACCTTTTATGCCCGGACTGAGTAAAACTGTAACGTTTAAGAACTTATAAAGTTGTTCTATTGCAGAAGCCATTCCAACCGCACTATTTGGTTCCTAATGGTTCTTAAGTCCTATCTTAGACTTCCCATCTTATCTAACCCTCAACACACTATTACAGCTCTGTATAACTCTGAAAGTCATTATTTAATCGGGACTTTAGCTGTCCTGTCTTTGGTTCAAATGTGCATGAGACTGCAAGTAGTGTGTGTGTGTGTGTGTGTGTGTGTGTGTGTGTGTGTGTGTGTGTGTGTGTGTGTGTGTGTGTGTGTGTGTGTGTGTGTGTGTGTGTGTGTGTGTGTGTGTGTGTGTGTGTGTGTGTGTGTGTGTGTGTGTGTGTGTGTGTGTACATCAAAGTTGAGGCCAACAAAAGAATGAGAGCCGGCAGTATGGGAGGTGTGTTGGCCTTTTATCCCCAGGTGTGGCTCATCAGGTGAACGACTTGAACACCTGTAACACAAATTAGAGCCAGCAACAGAGGTGGGAAGTAGTGAAGTACAAGTACTTCATTACTGTACTTAAGTACATGTTTCTGGTATCAGTACTTTACTCCACTACTTATTTTTCTGACCACTTTTTACTTTGACTTCTCACATGTTGAACCCAAATACCTGTACTTTCTACTTCTTACATGTTGAACCCAAATACCTGTACTTTCTACTTCTTACATGTTGAACACAAATACCTGTACTTTCTACTTCTTACATGTTGAACCCAAATACCTGTACTTTCTACTTCTCACATGTTGAACACAAATACCTGTACTTTCTACTTCTTACATGTTGAACACAAATACCTGTACTTTCTACTTCTCACATTTTGAACACAAATACCTGTACTTTCTACTTCTTACATGTTGAACCCAAATACCTGTACTTTCTACTTCTCACATTTTGAACACAAATACCTGTACTTTCTACTTCTTACATGTTGAACACAAATACCTGTACTTTCTACTTCTTACATGTTGAACCCAAATACCTGTACTTTCTACTTCTTACATGTTGAACCCAAATACCTGTACTTTCTACTTCTTACATGTTGAACACAAATACCTGTACTTTCTACTTCTCACATGTTGAACACAAATACCTGTACTTTCTACTTCTTACATGTTGAACCCAAATACCTGTACTTTCTACTTCTCACATGTTGAACACAAATACCTGTACTTTCTACTTCTTACATGTTGAACACAAATACCTGTACTTTCTACTTCTTACATGTTGAACCCAAATACCTGTACTTTCTACTTCTTACACTTTGAACCCAAATACCTGTACTTTCTACTTCTTACATGTTGAACACAAATACCTGTACTTTCTACTTCTTACATGTTGAACACAAATACCTGTACTTTCTACTTCTTACATGTTGAACCCAAATACCTGTACTTTCTACTTCTCACATGTTGAACACAAATACCTGTACTTTCTACTTCTTACATGTTGAACACAAATACCTGTACTTTCTACTTCTCACATTTTGAACACAAATACCTGTACTTTCTACTTCTTACATGTTGAACCCAAATACCTGTACTTTCTACTTTCTCACATTTTGAACACAAATACCTGTACTTTCTACTTCTTACATGTTGAACACAAATACTGTACTTTCTACTTCTTACATGTTGAACCCAAATACCTGTACTTTCTACTTCTTACAATGTTGAACCCAAATACCTGTACTTTCTACTTCTTACATGTTGAACACAAATACCTGTACTTTCTCTCATTACTTTCTTACATGTTGAACACAATACCTGTACTTTCTACTTCTCACATGTTGAACACAAATACCTGTACTTTCTACTTCTTACATGTTGAACACAAATACCTGTACTTTCTACTTCTTACATGTTGAACCCAAATACCTGTACTTTCTACTTCTTACACTTTGAACCCAAATACCTGTACTTTCTACTTCTTACATGTTGAACACAAATACCTGTACTTTCTACTTCTTACATGTTGAACCCAAATACCTGTACTTTCTACTTCTTACATGTTGAACACAAATACCTGTACTTTCTACTTCTTACATGTTGAACACAAATACCTGTACTTTCTACTTCTTACATGTTGAACCCAATACCTGTACTTTCTACTTCTTACATGTTGAACCCAAATACCTGTACTTTCTACTTCTTACATGTTGAACACAAATACCTGTACTTTCTACTTCTCACATGTTGAACACAAATACCTGTACTTTCTACTTCTTACATGTTGAACCCAAATACCTGTACTTTCTACTTCTTACATTTTGAACACAAATACCTGTACTTTCTACTTCTTACATGTTGAACACAAATACCTGTACTTTCTACTTCTTACACTTTGAACCCAAATACCTGTACTTTCTACTTCTTACATGTTGAACACAAATACCTGTACTTTCTACTTCTTACATGTTGAACCCAAATACCTGTACTTTCTACTTCTCACATGTTGAACACAAATACCTGTACTTTCTACTTCTTACATGTTGAACCCAAATACCTGTACTTTCTACTTCTTACATGTTGAACCCAAATACCTGTACTTTCTACTTCTTACATGTTGAACACAAATACCTGTACTTTCTACTTCTTACATGTTGAACCCAAATACCTGTACTTTCTACTTCTTACATGTTGAACACAAATACCTGTACTTTCTACTTCTTACATGTTGAACCCAAATACCTGTACTTTCTACTTCTTACATGTTGAACACAAATACCTGTACTTTCTACTTCTTACATGTTGAACCCAAATACCTGTACTTTCTACTTCTTACATGTTGAACACAAATACCTGTACTTTCTACTTCTTACATGTTGAACCCAAATACCTGTACTTTCTACTTCTTACATGTTGAACACAAATACCTGTACTTTCTACTTCTTACATGTTGAACCCAAATACCTGTACTTTCTACTTCTTACATGTTGAACCCAAATACCTGTACTTTCTACTTCTCACATGTTGAACACAAATACCTGTACTTTCTACTTCTTACATGTTGAACACAAATACCTGTACTTTCTACTTCTCACATGTTGAACCCAAATACCTGTACTTTCTACTTCTTACATGTTGAACCCAAATACCTGTACTTTCTACTTCTTACATGTTGAACACAAATACCTGTACTTTCTACTTCTTACATGTTGAACACAAATACCTGTACTTTCTACTTCTTACATGTTGAACCCAAATACCTGTACTTTCTACTTCTTACATGTTGAACCCAAATACCTGTACTTTCTACTTCTTACATGTTGAACACAAATACCTGTACTTTCTACTTCTTACATGTTGAACCCAAATACCTGTACTTTCTACTTCTCACATTTTCCAAACAGGCTGGTTCCTTTAGTTTGAATGTGTGTTTGGTGGCGTGATCATTATTATTTAGAGTCATTGCGTGCCTATTGATTTGAACACGATCCGTGTATCCATCATTTCCTGGTCTTCTCTAAAGAAGAGGGACCAATGAAAACGTTGTCATGTTGCCGTTGTTCAGCATGGAAACATTCATTAGCTAACAATGACATTATTGTTCTATTAATATAAAGGGAGGTCAGGTACTCTTTAAAACAGCTGCTAGTTATGGGTACTTTTTACTGAAGTACATTTCAAAGCCCTCTTTACTTTGACTTGAGTAAAGAAGTTTAGTCAGTACTTCTACTTTTACCAGAGTATTTTTAAACACGAGTATCTGTACTTCTACTTGAGTAAAGGATGTGTGTACTTTTGCCATCTCTGGCCAGCAAGCAGAACACAAACACAGAGACCCCTAGTGGACTGGAGGGGGTCGTAACACCCCTTAAAAATGGGGTTCCCCCTAGAGCTGGGGTGGGCAATTATTTTTTACAAGGGGCCACTTCAGAAACTCGAGCTGTGTTGGGGGGCCGAATCAAAAATAAGTTGAACTTAATTCTGCTCAATATACCAATACTGAAAAGATGTTTTACAGTATGTTAAAGATAAGAAATGAATCAGCTTTATACAAAAAGAAATGAGTGCTTTTGATTTTTGTTTTTCAGTTAATTTTACTTGTTCAGTGAGAAAAATCCAGTCTGTCTTGGGCTTGAACAAGTGCACGGAAATCTGGTTCAATGTCTGAGGTGGATATGCGAAGGACAGCTGAGAGGTGATCATCAGTGATAGAGGATCTGTATCTGGATTTGTTGAACTTCATCACTGAGAATGTCTGTTCACATATGTAGGTAGATCCAAAGAGGACCATCATCTTCTGAGCACGTCTCCTGATGTGTGGAAAGTTCTCCTCTTTCAGGGAAGAGTAAAACTCAGGCAGTGAGACTGACCTAAAGTGCTCTGACAGAAGTGTGTCAGACTGCAGGTCAATGAGTTCAAGCTGAACATCACTGGGTGCATCATCCACATGGCATGTAAATGGGGAAAAGATCATGTTCATTTCATTCTCAACTGTTTTGAAGTCTTTAAATCGCCTTGAAAACTCACCATGCAGTGCTTCTAACATGGATGAGTACCTCTGGAGGTGATCAGCTGATGGTGTGGCTTCCTTC